TTTTTTTATTTCTATAATTGTTGTAAAGTCTTGTCATGTAAATGTCAACTGAAATTGGCATTTCCCAATAGTTTAACAAATAGATTTTCTTCCACACATTGATAACTTAAAAATCCAGAAGCCCCACCTTGAATTTCTTGCTCTCCCCCTCCTCTTTAAGAAGAAACCCAGTTGGCCCCATCTCACGTAGGATGTAGATTGTTGCGTTCAGGGCCTGGTCCTGCCTCCAGCTCACTAAGTCGCTGATCGTACGGCGCCATGCCGCGTTACGTGCCATTGAGCAACAGTTGGTGTACGTGACTTTAATCAATGGATAGTCAAGTAAGATTCAACATTGCTGAAAAAAAGTGTCAAAAATGTAATCTGCAGCATGAGCACTAGCTGGTGCGATGCACATCAATAAATGTGACTTTAAATATAAAAACATGCTGGTGAAAAAAAGTAATTAAGCATAGCGATTTGAAGAAAAATTAAAATAAAATAGAGAACATCTATTTTTCCAGTAACATAAAATATATCCATCGTTATAATACAGGCTTTACGCTGACATACAGTATCTTGTGGCAAGTTGGAGTTCTAACGGCGTTAATGCCAGGCTGACATAGTATATACTTGGGGCAAGTTGGAAATGGAGCACTAGCGATGTTATTACGTTAATGCCAATTAAAATTGTCGTGTCCTGATTCCATTGATAATAGAGACACACTGAAATGCTCTGTGATTATTTTTAATGCCTGACATACAAACCTTTTCTCTCTCTTTTAACTCATATTGGTCATTACACCGTGACATACGACGTCTACATGGTTTCATTTCTTATTTCATTCAGTTGAATGGTACGTCGTTCTGTCTGTTCGTCCACCGGTTGTTTATAGCCTCGCTTTGGAAATCTCTAAGGAAAATCTCATCTAACGCATTCCACTGAGCACATCTAGAGCACGTGTTCACAAATATATATATATATATATATATATATATATATATATATATATATATATATTTTATTCACGAAAATTAATACAGGGCATTTACAACACAATAAGAGACAAATACACCTTCACACACTGCAAACAAAGTTCTTACAGATGTTGATTAATAATACACGTAGGTTTTTTTTTAATTAAAGAATCTTAGTAGGCCTAGGCTACGATTAATGTTCTTTTCTATTCATATCAATATTTTTTCTATACTTTCCCATTTTTTTTCTTAGATTATCTCCCTTTTTAGGATCCAGTAGGTATAAAGATTGAAAATCTATGTTCTTTTGCTTTTCCAAATACTTTTTGCAGGCATTCCAAAGAGGTGTAATTTTATTCTGTCCACATGAAATATTTGTTTATATAGAGAAGTAGTAGATTAATACCTAAGAGAGGGCTGTCTTCCATGATTCCAAATATAAACACGCAAGGTTGTTGTCGTAATTCAACAGAGCACTGTGTTCACAAATGTTAATTCATTTGAAGGACTGGTCTCATATTTTGATTCACATACATTATTTTTTGCATATTTCTTTTAGTTTATACTTTCACTTCAAATAAAAAAGAAACTCTTTGAGGTGATGTAGCCTAAAATTTTATGAACTTTAGCATTCCACTTATTAAAAAACAGAAAAATGAAAGTAGGCCTAATGCTTATTCATTATAATATATGCAAACTCTCAAACTAGGTTGTCAAACATTGTATGAGAACAAATGAATTGCATAAATTTAGACTGTAAAAACAAAATAAAGGTATTATGCATTCGCCCACTCTCCAATTTGATGGCATTTTACAAGCGACCCCTATATACCCAATTTATTTTATTATTTCAAGATCGATAATTTAAGTTACAACAAATAATTTTGGGCGTGACCCAAAACACTTCAATACTACAAAAAAGTTTTTCCTTTGGAATCTAGTAAAGAAGATGAGTAGGCCCTATTTCTTGACACTGAGACTGAATAATGCATTTACAGGTAACTACGTCATACATACATTAGATTTCAATCTACCATCTATGGACCGGTCTTGATCACAAAAAGGTCCAATCTGAATGCAAAATGTGGTTAAATTTGGCGATCGTTATTTGGTCTACAAGCCAACCAAATCCTGAGTCAAACAGTAATAATTATAGTTATTTATTTCAACAAAAAAAAAACTTGTTTCCATTTACCGAACAATTAATGTTATTATTCTGTTCAGGGTAAAATTATTGTCCTAGGACAATCAAAGAGGAATTCAGTCAAAATCAGTTATAAATTAATTTTCATACTTTATTTTGCTCCAAGCTGTTTAACTAAATATGAAAATTTGAAAATTTGCGTGTCGTCTGTTTTGCTTGGAAGTCTTGTTTATCACATCTGAAATAAAAATATTTGTCAGCTTTGCTGAGTTAACACTTGTTTATATCTCTCTAATAAATCAAGTAACTGCATGTGTTTCTTTAAAGCACTGCAATACCTACGGCACCTCTACTTCACTCCTCCAAACTTTGAAGCTACTCTACAGCTTTTGTCAGCTTCGCTGTTTTGATTTATTGTACGTAATTATGTAAATCACAACCATAATGCCTTTAACAAGATTACGGTCCAGGCCAAAAATGGCCACACTTGGCAAACTAATCAAACATTAACAAGAACTTGTCTCAGTAACTTCCCTGCGATATGCAGCTAATTCAACCACTCACCAGTAGGCCTATCATTGGCATCCCAGGCATTGACATGTTCCGGTGGTTTTAAGGACGCAGTATGGAGTGCCGCCGAATACGCCTGCTGGTGTACAACGAGAACAGGAGCTGGTACAGTCAGAATGTGTTTTGCACCCACTACTCGTCGTGGGTGCTTTGCAGAAGAAGAAAAATAATGACATTTATTTATTCATTTATTTATTTGGGAAAGATAAAAAATATAGCATACCTTTGATTAGGCTATCCCCAATAAATTGCTTCAAATTAATCACTTGTAAGTACTTATATTCCTTGGGCAAACACAAAAGTATCCAGGTGTTTCTGTACCCTTTTTCAACCTCTGTAATTTGCGCTTCTTGTAATTATAATGACATCCTTTTTATCATATTCAATCGTTTCTCTGTCTCAAAGCTGTTTGTTTGTTTGTTTGTTTTATTGTTCGCTGTTACTCTAACCTACCTGGCAAGCCTGCAAAGAGGAGCAAAGCTGCAATGACGCAAAACTTCATCATCTTGACAATACAGTGCTTAGTATCTTGTGAAGATTGTCTACTCTGGTGTCTCCTGTTTCTGATGACTAGCGTTCAGCTGATTCACTAATAAACATTTGTCGCCTACGGTTATGACTTAAATTTTAAACACCTCACTTGATTTAATATTATATTTTTTCCAAATAACATCACTATATTTATTCACATATAAAACTGATCATGATGAATTTATTAAAACCTTTACATAAGCATTTTACATATTAATAATATGACGTTTTTTGAGAAAATTATCAATTCACGTTGTTGGAAATTAACGACTAATTACAATATCGGCCTAGCTATCAGACTGAGTCATTCCTTGGGCCGTTTTGATGCAAAAGCCTTTGAAGTTCATATCCATTGATGTGAGAACCCCTATTTTGCGTTCAGTTTGTACCAAAAGCTGCTGAAAAAGTTGCAAATAATTTGATATGCTCATGTATCAGTATTTGTCTAGCCAGAAATTATTACAAACATAAAGATTACTTTTTGTTTTATTAACTACATAATAACCCATTGAAAACATTTATTACAGTACTACTTTTTATTTAAGGTTATGAGTTTTACCTAAATTTATTGGAAAATAGAGTCAAAATAAACTGCATGCTCCAACTAAAGACAGAATCCTGTCATATTTCATATATTCTCGCAGTTGCATGATTCATCTTTGACCAGCATCTTTCAGGTTTTTCCATTTCTAAGTGAGCAGGGAACTCAAAATTGTTAATTTTGACCTCTAGCAGAAAACAACACAAATTGATTTAGCCATTTCATAAAAGTTCTGACAAATATTTATTGAGAATTAAGTCACATGAATTATGGTCAAAAACAAGAATTCAAATTTGTTTAAGTCACTCAACAATATACGAAAATCTTCTTCATTTAAAAATTGCTGAAGGTTTATATATAAAGTTGTGGTCCACAGTTTATTGGCAATATTGGTTTGGTCACAATACCAACCATGCTTAGATCTTATTGAAAGCTACAACGTCTACAGATTGAACGAAATCTTCAAATGCTGTAATACTTTCCTCCAGAAAATCTGTGCCAACCTAAAAACAAAATAAATATTTGTTTGAAGCCTTAACATTTCTACTTAAAGAAATTCATGAAACCGATAAAAATATAAGAAATAAAACTTTATAAAAGCTTATTAATAAAATACAATCAGCATAAGAACACAGAGAATAGGAAAGCAGTTAATTCATTAATAAGTGCCACTTTACATATTCAACAATTTTGCCCATTTAATCTCCCACAAACTTCTTTCTTTAACACATACTTAATTAGCATCCTACATACCACAGGCTTATAAGCTAGCTAACTGTAGGATTCAGAAGGATAAGGGGGCTACCCCCTCCCCTTTCCCTCCCCACTTCCAACCTCTACTGTATCGTACTTTGGCATCTTCTACGACACACATGATCTGCAAGGTCAAGCACGCGTGTGGTTCGAAGAAGGACTGTTTAGACAAACTTGTTTTGGGAAAAAAAAACAGTCCTCGTAAAGTTTAATAATAATCATCATCATCATTTATCAACGTGCCATGTTAAAAGAACACCCAGCCCTTCAGGCCTACAAACCACCTGTTGCAAACAATTATTCTGTCTTATTATTTCTGACAACAAATACTTTTACCAATTTAGTGAATAACTACTGTTATTATTCTTCTCAGGGTAAAATAATTGCCTTAGGCAGTCAGAGAGGAAATCAGTCAAAATCAATTTGAAATGCGTTTTCATCTTTTAATTTATTTTTTCCAAGCTGTTGATAAAAATACGAAAATCTGCATGTCTTCTGTTTTGCTTGGAAGTCTTATTGTTCTACATCTGAAATAAAGATGATAATAATAGTAGTGGTGGTAGTATTAGTAGTAATGATGATAATTTATTCTTATATGACATATTTCATTGAAAACCTCAATGCGCTTCACTATCGTTTTGAATTAAGATTTAAATATTATGCTTCAAAGGAGTTAAATATTACAATTAATAAGGATTGAAAATGACTAAGTTGAGAGCTGAAAACGGCAAATTTTGCAGATAATTACCGCCAGACATAATTTGATGCTAAGTAAGAATATCATAATTTAAAAAGCAATATTGAGAGACGTATGACCTATTTTCTGGGATTTGTGGAAAACCACAACTTTCTCAAGTGCTGAGAAATAAATTAGATATATACTCTACTACAGAATATCTGTATTATATTATATTGCACTCCGGCACTTCTACTTTACTCCCCCAATCTTTGAAATATTGTACTCAATGCTAGTAGCTACTGCTTTTGGCAGTTTCTCTGTTTTATTTAAGAATTTATTATACCTATCAATTATGTTAATCACATCCACAATGGAATCAGAAAGATTAAGATCTAGATCAAAAATGGTAACATTTGGCAAAATGTTCAAAGGTAAAAAAAAAAGAACTAAAATATTGTTTTGATCTATGACTTTAAGAGCAATTCAGCTGTGATATGCAGGTAATTGAACAACTCACCAGACCATGTGGCTATGGTCCGCACCCAAGGCATTGGCATGTGCCGGTGGTTTTAAGGGCGCATTTTGGGGTGCCGCCGTATATACAACCAGAACAATAGCTGACACAGTTAGAGTTTGACAGGCACCCGAGACTTGCCGTGGGTGCTTTGTAGAAGAAGAAAAACATTTTTAATATTTGAAAAAGATAAAAATGTAGCTTTGATTATCCCTAATAAATTGCTTCAGATGAATAATTTGAAACGTAAGTTCTGGGTAAACACAAAAGTATCCAGATGTTTCTGTACTATATTTCTATCTCTGTAATTTTTTGCTTATATAACTATAAAGACATCTTTTTTTATCATATTCAATCCATTTTTCTGTCCCAAAGGTGTTTGCTTGTTTGTTTAATTGTTTGCTTTTATTCTAACCTACCTGGCAAGCCAGCAAAGAGGAGCAAAGCTGCAATGAAGCAAAACGTCATCATCTTGACAATACAGTGCTTAGTATCTCGTGAAGTTTGTGTACTCTCGCCTCTCCTGCTTCTGATGTCTAGCCTTCAGCTGATTCACTAATAAACATTTGTCACTTACGGTTATGACTTAAAATTTAAAACACCTCACTTACTTTAATATTTTATTTTCCCAAATAAAAACATTTTATTTATTCACACATAAAACTGATCAAGATTAACTTATTAAAACCTTTACATTAGCATCTTACATAACAAGACTTTTTTTGGAAATAATCAATTCACGTTCTTGGAAATTGATGAGTAATTACAGTATCGGCCTAGCTATCAGACTGAATCATCACTGGACTGTATTTTCGCAACAGCCTTTGTAGTTAACATTCATGGTGGCACATAGCTGTGAGAACCCTTATTTTGCTTTCACTTTCAAACAAAAGCTGCTTTTCACTCTGTAAAAGGTACAATTTATCCCTGTAAAAGTTGCCACCATTTTACTATTCTTGTATTAATGTTTGTCTAGCCTGGAATTATTGCAGAGATAAAGTTGACTTTTTTGTTTGTTTTATACTTGCATAGTAGGTAACATAATGAAAAAAATTTACAACAGTGCTGCTTTTTTATTATTTTTTTAGATTATGAGTTTTGATCAGTTTCCACTATTCAAATAATTTAGTTTAGATATTAAAACCTTTTTCATTATACTGTCAAGCTCTCTGACCAATTACAACACAGCAAATTTTCACAACAGTAATGGTCTTGGATGATTATTAAAATGTATGGTTCTGGATAACTGAGAAAGACCTCTATGTGGTTAAACATTTCATTTAGTTGGATGGTACACCTGTTCTTAGCACATATAAACCACGTTTACGGACACAAAAAATGTACCATTTCTTTTTGTAGAGCTTTGTTGAAATGATTCATTTCATACAGGGGTAGATCAAAGCAGTTTCAAGATCTGGTTTGGAATTTTTTATATTAATTAGTTTGTTCACTCCCCCTTAAAGCATAAAGAAACTGCTTGATGGCCTTCTCTATAATTTTTTAAAAACCGAAGATGCTAAATCATTAAAGTGCAAATGCAAACTCTATAACTGGGTTCCCAGCATTTCATGAGAACAAACTTCCCTGATTTTCACCTCAATTAATCTTAAAATTTCAGAATCATAATTCCAACCCATTTAAATGTAAAGAGCTAGCTACTGCAGGCTTTAAAATTGCCCCCCAAAAAATTGTCGTTCTGTATAGACACAAGCCAAAAAGTCTGAGCAAACAAAATTCCTTTATTTCAATGATTTGAGGACTTTAATGAAACATGACAGGGAAAAAAGGGGGGCCGGGGGGGGGGGGGGGGGGGTTGGGGATCTTCCAAGTTTTGCCATTTCTGATTGCGAGTGAGCTCGGAACCCTTTTTGAAATTTAAGTTTTGCTTTCTAGCACAAAACAACACAACCTGACAATCTCATAAGTCCTGTCAAATATTTATTGAGAGTTAAGTTGCATGAAATAGTGTCAAAAACAAGAATTCAAATTTGTTTAAGTCACTCAACAATGTATGAAAATCTTCTTCATTTAAAAATTGCTGAAGGTCTATATATAAATTTGTGGTCCACACAGTTCATTGGCAATATTGGTATGGTCAAAATAACAACCATGCTTAGATCTTATTGAAAGCTACAACGTCTACAGATTGGACGAAATCTTCAAATGCTGTAATACTTTCCTCCAGAAAATCTGTGCCAACCTAAAAACAACATAAATACTTGTTTACAGCAATAAAGATGCTATTCAAACAAATCTTGACGCAATTTAAAAAAAAAAATTAAATAATGCTACATAAAAGCTTGTTTATAAGTACAATCAGCCTTAAACACAAAAAATGGTAAAACTTCCATAAATTTCAATAGTTTATTTTTTCAACAATACCTGTTAAATCTTCCACAAACTTCTTTCTTTAACACATACTCAATTAGCATCCTATATACCTTAGACTGCATTCCCACATATTTAGATTGAACCATCTGGATCAACCTAACTCCCTGGGGGTTCATGCTAAATTGCTGTCAGCCGAGTGCGCACGGAAGTTATTTACCCCCTTTTAGTAGGCGGGATAGACATTTAAGCCTGCTAAGCTGACAGTAATCCAGTGAGACTCCTCACGGGGATAGATTGATCTAAAATCTGTGGGAATGCAGTCATAGAGCGCATTCTCAACGAATTAAGCCAGGCTTTACAAAGCTGGTGACCTAAAAATGGCGGACGTACATGAAAGAAAAACCGCCTAATCTTTTAATAGTCTCTCCGCCTCCCCACACGTCGTCCCTGCGGGGTACAGTAATTAAATCGCGTCTC